TGAATACTGAACATCGCCGACCCTATCGAGTGCCAACCGAAGTGTTCAAAGCTGATGGACACACAAATCTTTCCTGCTTAACAGACTTCAATATACCGATAATGCCAGCTGAAGTCCTTAGAGTCGAAGGAACTGAAGTTCATCCTTAACACTTAATTCCCTGGGGATATCTTCGGACATACCAAAGAAATATATGACGAGAAAAACGTCAAAATTGGTTCTAGAAGCCAACATAAATGTGATGATCTCGCTTACGTTGCAACCCTTTCCCCAGCGATGACGTCTGCTGGAATGAAAACCCAGAGAAAGCGTCCCGGGGAAAGGCATTAGTTTCCCCTTACAACCCTTCATCCCGAGACCCTGAAGCTAGCGAGGCACAACTCGGCCAGGAACAGGGAAATAAGTCCGGGGGTGGCGGAGTAAGGGTCGGTAAGAGTAGACGGAGGTAATCAACCCCGTACATCTCGCGCCGGCAGTACCGAGCCTCCCCGGGGAGCAATATGTTCCGAATTCGGGAAAGATATGTCCGGGATTCGGGACTCCCCTGCATAGGCAACACCGGGAACACGGGAAGCCCCCTTCCGGAGGGTTACCGCTCCTTCCGGGACTCTTCGGCCCATCGCCGATAGCCCGGGATCGTCCTAAGCGGCACGTACCTCGGAGTCCTGGGGGCTTCATCCGATTCCCCGGGACTCCCGGACCGGGACCGGACTGCCATGGAATCAATGAACGGTGCCGGGTTCCCGAGGGAACCCTAGCAAAAGTGCTGGGAGAGTTCCGTTTAGCATAAGTACGTTAGGAGGGACCATCAGCGGGACAAGAAGGTGCACCTTCTTCCTTCCAGGAGTCCTGGACCAACCGAATCCCATTATCACAACGAATTTGCCATGTCCTGATGATGAAGACACGCACTTCGGCTTCATTCTGTGATCTGGTCACATTTCCATACTTCCATATTTACAATTAGACGTAGGGCATCATGAGGGAATTCCCATCCGCGATTCTTGCTCAGGTTTAGAAGCGGTCGTTTCAAGGAATCCCAGCGAACGCGGTGTTCGGTCGATACGGTCTCGGAGACGACAAAAAGTGTCTCCCCACGTGCAAATATTTTCCGCAAACAGGGCGACGCGTTCCCCCGAAGATCCTCTGGGATTCCAATCTTAACAGGGAATCCCTGAGAAGGGACCACCCGATGTAATCAATGCCCACCCGAATGCACCCGGGTCCTAGGGAGTTCCGAGTCAGCCGCTTCCTGCATAAATACGCTTCGCTAACAGGATCGGAATTGAGCGTTGCGAGGATCCCCCAACGAGATTCGGGTAATTCCGGGCCTTACTTGCCCCGCGGCTTTTAGCTACCGGGCCTCCCCTACGCGGACCATAATCTCGTTATGGTTGGCTCATCCTGCACGACTGCCACTCGCCATCGTCTACTGGGGACCCTAGATCAGGGTGGCTAGTTCGGCGCCACTCCGACGCGGCGGATGAACGTTGAAGGCTCTTTCGCTTCGTTGCTGGTCAGCACCACACATTTAATTTCAAATGCTGGTCAGCACCACACATTTAATTCCAAATGCTGGTCAGCACCACACACTTAATTCCAAATGCTGGTCAGTACCACACACTTAATTTCAAATGCTGGTCAGCACCACACATTTAATTCCAAATGCTGGTCAGTACCACACACTTAATTTCAAATGCTGGTTTGCATTTTAACGTCAGCATCTCCAAAACCAAATTCCAAACGACGGAAATCCGTCATTTTGAGTCTGGTTCGTAGATCTCTTTGAAGGTACTTCAATGTCGCCTTAGGTCGCAGTTCGCGATGCACTGTGGCAGTAATGCAGCAGAGATGTTGGGCTATTTCGCAGTAATTATTAAAACATCAAATCCATCCGTAGAGAGGGAGGAGATGGCTCGTCTTATCAGCTCCCAGTGGGCCGCAAATTAACCTAAATGCCGGATATCAGTCGCATCAGCGATGCACCTTGCGCATGTAGGGCGGAGTCCAAGTTTAATTGTAATCAGGCTGAAAGCATCGGCTCTCGACGAGAACCTAACCTAACTCTCGGGAAGGTCGATCGAATTTACGCAGAATACTTTTGGCGCGGGGTTGACTGCCCCCGGCGATCGTAAACCTTCCTCAACTTTCCAACCCGGTGGAAAGAAAAGTGGAGACTCGGAAGATGGAAGACTCTTCTGAGAAGGTGCGACGTGGAAGCAAGGGAGGAAAAACGAGGGAATGTAATTAATCCAGCCTGAATTTCGGAGCTAGGAATCGAACGGGGTGAAAAGTGGGCCGGACTAAAGCGAAGTGAAACCCCCCCCAAATCAGTCGACTCTAATAAGACACTTTTCATTAAGGCTATTCGTCCAAATCGCCCGAAACTTCGACACATGACTCGCGATCATCCAAAAAGTGTCCCGGCACTTTCAGAATTTGGATTTTCAAGATAAAAAGAGATTATTAACTAACCCTAGGAATTAAAGATATTTTTCTCTCGACCTAGCAACGAAAGATGGCCGCCATAGTCTCCCCCTAACCTCTCTCAGTCCCCTCTAGAATTTAACTTTATGCCCCATCTCTTTATTCCTAGATCCATGGGAGAAGTAAAGTCCCGAGGAAAGGGCGACGAGGAGGAGGGTTCTCCCGCGAGATGGCAGCACTAGAGGATGGAGGAGGAACGAGAGAAAGAAGGACGGCGAGATGGGGGCAACGAGAGAAGGAGTGAGATGGAAAGCAGAAGGGAAGAAAGGACGCTTGCAGGGGAATCCTTACTTCCGTGGCAATAGATTTATCACCGCGGCATCCTGCTCGAATATTCAATGCGTTCTGCTTGGGAAAAAAATAAAATAAAAAAGGAAGAGGAAGACCGCGTCGGATACGGAAAGGGGAGAGAAATGGCGGAAGCGGTTTCAAAGCGATATCGAATGAAATAAGATTTGAGAGCGACTCGTTTTAGCGCGTTTATATCCTAGATATGAATACCACGAGCTCGTCTGGCCAATCAAAGCTGGTCTTTTGCCGGGAAATACAATTTTCTCTCAGTAGAGGGTTTAAGGTTATGTCAAAGAGGCGCCAGAGGTCTCGCTCGTGAAACATTTCTCCTAACTGACCGTACCGAATCGCTTTACACTTCACAAAGTGAATGTGGAGGTTGGAAGGAAGGTCCCTACACCCGTGAAATTTAATAATTCATCGAGACTTATGAAAATATCTCGGGGGAAATTTCCAGCGGGGTTTAACCTCGCCTTAAAGGAAGAATTCCAGGTCTCTAGGCATTCGATTCCATTACCGGATCGGGAAGTCGATTACACTCGCAATTTGAGTCGTTCGTTTCTAGCTGGCATCACTTGGGGGGCAGCGTTATCTAAAGCGGATACCTAACCTATACCGGAAGATAGCAACGGGAAAGTTTTCCACGGCGAGTTCGCATCGCTTCTCCTCCCCCTTTTCCGCTTTTTCTTGCCCCTCTATCTTGCTCCTTCGCAACAAGTTTCCGTTTAGAGTTTGCGCGGAGAACTTTTGTCAATTCCAGCCGCTTCTTTCGCCTTCCCTCCGGCCTTAAGTAGGCTGAAGGTTCGGGAAATTTCTTATACTTTGAGGTAAGTATAAGAAGGAGGAAGGGGAAGACCCCGGCAATAAAAGAAGCGGCAATCTTCGACGTTTCCGCTAAAATACTCCCACGATCTTACCCAGTCTCGTATTCGTCCATTCATATCGCCTTAAGCTTGGTATAAACTTTTATATTTTCCTGCCACGACCTTTCCGAATAATAATTTACGTCGGTAGGAAACGTACCGATTACGAAGGATGGGAATTTCCTAGATTTCCCCAAGTGGTCGATATATCAGGACGATCAAAAGGACGGCTTCTTTCGCCAACAAGTCCAGCAAGCTCTGAAAGAAGATGGACGTCGTTTTTTTAAGGGTCTCGGATCAGCGGGGAGATAACAGAGTGTCATTCGATTTTTATTCTGTTATATCGAGGATGAAGAGTGGCTACTAAGAAGAAATAACGCGCCATAAAGACGGGCTTTTAATGGGCCACCGACGCGTGTCGCGCCCATAGCTTCGAACTTCGGCCGCCAGGTCGCGCCATGGCGGGAACTTTAAAAATAGAAGTGAAAAGACAAACGGGGTGGGAAAAATAAACGGGAGGCCTGATTTCTGCCACACGGGATCCAAATGTCAAAGCTTTGCCGGCGTAACGAGGTGCACCCGAGTTTATAAATGTTGCAGTTATTTTCTCTCTTTGCCGTTCCGTATCTCTCGAATGTCAGCCACGAAGCGAGGCGTCTTCGAGTCCTCTCAAAGACGTCTTATTAAACTCCTACGCCCTCAAAGCCGCCATTCCGGGTTATACGAGGACGCGTTAAAAGGAGATCTCGCGGTTTCGAGGGCGAATTAAAAATAATCCCCGCACTCGTTACCGGAAATGAGGTTATGATTCCTAGCGGGGCGTAATGCATTCGGTCGCGGCTGCTCTTTAAGGTGGCATGAAAGGCGCTTAGAAATTTAATCCACGTCGATAAATTTAAATTCAGTCATACCCTTTCCGGTGGTGAGGCCATGTTTAATAATGAAGCGTTAACTCCACGTCGGAAATTATTTCCGTGTTAAAATGGCGGCGTCCATCAGATTGCGAAAGGGACTTCAGAAATCCTTTTCAAATCCTCACCGAGATCCATATGGGTTTAGATTCGGCTGGATTTCCATGGATATCCACCGAAATCCCCTAAATCCATCGACTGTCCCATGGAAAGCCTCCCAACGTTTCCAATGGACGTATAAAAGGAAAAGTTTCATTCACTTCGTCCTCTACAAGAATTCAAAATGGCGGCGGGAAGTCCCGCGAGAGTTATTACGAAAACCGAATGAATCGTCGAGAAAGAAATGGTTATTATCGTTTACATTGATCAAAAGGAGAAGCCCGATAGGCGTGCTATGGGTATATATTTTTTATTTACCTTTTATACGTATAAACATTGTCGTGGAATAGGAATAATTAACGGCGACCGTCGTTGGCACATTTTCCGATACCTTTGAATCTTTCATGGCTTCCGGGACGAAGCATAGAGTCTGAAGTATCGGAGAGTGAAGTTTTCGGTCTCGAATAACGAGAATAACAATAGACGTCGCCAATTAAATTCGCAATTCAATTTAATACTCGGTCGGGACGCAATTAGTGCTGTGGTCGCCAATTAATTAACGAAACCGCGAGTTCGACCACCTCTTGGAGACCTTAACCTCTTTTTATTTCCTGCGAATCAGGAAACTCGGTAGAGTCTCCCAACAAGTACATTTAACAGCACCGAATACTTTAGTCCAAAGTTCTTCACATTTTTGTCACAGGATTTGTTTTTAATTTCACAGCGAGAGTACATCGTAAAGACACATTGATTATTTATTATCACATTTTTCTACACGTTTTTACTATCCGAGTCATCTCCATCACCAAAGACTCGTCGGTTATTAAAGCATCGGGTCCAATTTTGAATTTTCCACTGTTATCTCGAGTCACTTCACGTTTCCTTGCCGATGTGTGAAACTCCTTCGCACTGGATTCGGTTTTAATATGAAGAATGTTGTCTTTTGTTATTCCGGCCCCTGGCATTATTATTATCTTCCCTCGAGCTTGGTGTATCAGTTGTTTGATTAATTCCAATCCTTCCAGAGCTGAACTCTTCTGTCCGGATGTTAATATCCTCTCAAATCCCAGGTCGATGACAGTGTTTAACGATTTCAAAGGATTCATCGTTTCGTCAAATGCTCGATGGAATGTAACTGGTAACGGAGACGCAGCAGAAATAATTTCCCTGCAAGGCTCGGTAGCAATCTCACCGTCTTCCGTTAATGCCCCAAAGACGAATCCATTAACACCGAGTTCTTTCAACAATTTCAAGTCATACAGCATGACATCCATTTCTTCTTGTGAGTAAACAAAATTGCCAGTTCTCGATCGAATCATAGCATACATCGGTACGTCTGAAGACTTTCTTATCTGCTTTATCATCCCTGGAGTAGGAGTCAGTCCTCCTTCGGAGAGAGCTGCGCAGCATTCTAACCTAAAAGCTCCACCAGTAATAGCATTCCTCGCAGAGTCTACACTGTCGATGCAGATTTCCATCTGAAATATTAATCCAGTTTAAAGGCAGGCATTAATTCTATTCACAAGTTAATGTTTCACAAAACACATCTTTGCTACATAACCTCAATAGACATACATTCGACTTGCTAGATACAGAACGTGGTGGAACACGTGGGCGGATAATGTACTTGCCACCTGTTACATCAATGGCGGCGCAGCTCATCTTCCAGAAATGAGTTACCCTTATATATTGCGAACACTGGCCCAAATCCTGCTCCCTGATTGGGCCCCGCCTCGACCAATCAGGACGTCGGGTCCAGCCAGCAGGACCGCGGAGGCGAAATGGAAGGCCGAAAGGAAATCCTGGGAAAAGGAACGCAAGCTGGGAAGGACGATTTGTTTGTCGATCACCGTCGTCTGGGAGTGCAGTTTCGCTGGGAAATCAGTTTTTACTGCGGCACGTTCTCGTAAAAAGGGATTTTACGTATGCGCGACGCGTACCGGCCGTTTCTTCGTGCGATTGGTCGAAGTCGTAAAAGCGTAACTACGCGATTATTAAAATCCGCCCTGGAGCGACGTACGTGATGGACAGCTTTGTCCGTCGCCATATTGCGGATATTCGAGGAAAGAATTTCCGCGACGATTTATCGACAAGGAAGACGAACTGGCGCAATATTCATAACCATCGGTGTAACATGCGTAAATGGCGACGAAGGGAAGAGGGATTTAGACGGGATGTTACAAATGGTTCAGCGATTGCGATACATGGCGCGGTATCTCCTTATACTACTTCCTGAGTGGTACTTCATTTTTTCCTTTCTACGGTCTTATTTCTATGTCAGGGAATAACCTCCACAATGACTATTCAGATCATTGCAAACATTATTACTGCCGGGAGTTAGGAACAATGGGAACTTGAAGTTGCTCCTGGGGAATCCTCTGGGGGGTTTTCAATGGTGCCCTTTACCGATTGTGCCGAATGACAACAAAGTGGAAATCTAACAGGAAACCGGAACGGCTCGCTTTACAATTACATCGAGTGGCGGGAAAGTGGAAGAGAGACCCAATAGGAAAGTTGAATGGACCGGTGCACTGTTGGGGATGAATGGAACCACCCTAGGGAATTTAATAGGAAAAAAAGTCGATGGTAATTACCGAGCAATGAAGAGGTATCGATGTTGGGCATAAGAGACCTGGTCTTTCCCTGATGCATCGTAGTTGTTTAAATAAATAATAAACAACACGATGCATCGTGGGAATTTGGGTTTCCTCGTTGTTTGTGGATTATTGCAATATGACAAGCATATATGCATGTGCATATGGAGATGGGCAACGTCACATAAACTGGGGATTTCCAAATGTAGACCTTTGTAGATGCATCGCTCTTCCTGGTCTCAGCCAGGAGAGGATTATGGTTGACATCGAATCCCCATCAATATACATTGTAAGCCCGCAAACTTGATCTAAAGGAGAGACATCGATCCCTTATCATGTCCTTATTTGATGTGCCGGATTACACCACTGTGTCGGATCAGCCCGGCCGAAGTATAGAACTCATGTAGGCCGAGGTACGCGACAAGTTCCTAAACTCTTCTGGTGTGAAAATGCCAAACTATCCATGAAAGAGAAATAGCTTTTCTAGCCTCCATGATCCCTGTCATTAAACACTAAACCACTTGGACTTAAGGTTTACTATTAAACTATAACTAAACTCTAACCATGACACCATCAGGTCCTAAATTGTGCACCAGGAAGGAACGGGATTCCCATCCCGCTAATCCTCGATGTCGATGGATAAAAAATAGAAAGTCAAGACAATTTCGTGGACATTCCACCTTTCATGATGAATGAGTCTATAGAGAAGGTCCTGAATTTCATTCGGCGAGCCCAATTCGGAGGAAGGTTTCATAAACGAAACCCCTTCGACGCCACCTTAAAAAATAGTGTCTTTTTCGAGTCGACTGACTTTGAGGGAGGTTTCAGTTCAGCTTAAGGTATTCATAGTAGTCGGGGGTTGTATTCCCGATTGCTGGATAAGGGTGGAGGTGGATGTTCCACCTTCTAGTAGGTTTTCGCGAAGGTGGAGGGTACCTACCTATGACTCACGAGTACCTTCCCCTTTACGAGGTAGGTGCCGGTTAAACCGAGTCTCGTCGGCCCACCTTAGGGGCGCCAATCTCATATTCAGCTCTCGTAAAATTTTATACGCCTATCCCACTGTACCGCGACCTATCTATTTGCATACACCCTCCACAGTGTGTGATTCCACGGCGACGCACACCCAGGAAACCCACCACACATCAACGTCAACCCTATCAGGGCGATACTTTCGAGTTCCTGGCAAGTTCCTTCAGCCATTCGGTCGTCGTGTAAGACATCGGGATGGTTTTGCGGCCATTCCGCCTCGGATTCCCCGCAAGACGGTAGACGTAACGGCAGGTGCTTCCGTGGAGATTTCCGGAGGAGCTACTAGGTTAGGAGGACCCGTAAACCGAAACTTAGGATGATGAAGCCTCGTCAATGCATTCGGGGATAACTTGGGCTTCAAAGGTGTTTATTTGATGGCCAGCACTTAATTGGAAACTACTCGTAGGAAGTGATGGTGCTCATGGATGGGTTTACTGATGGTGCGAAGGGTTAGGGAGGTTAGGAACCCCTTTAGCTTTGACGAAACTCTTTCCACAAATTGGGTGCGTCGCTTTGAATCTCTTTTCTCCTAGAATTTGTTTACGGAAAAATTGTTTGAAAATATTCTGGATTAAGAGAAATGAAAATCCACGATCCAAGTCCATAGGGACTTTTCTTATGGCCTCCATATTCACGTTGTTAAATTTTAAACAATTCGGTACACCCAGTTGGGAGAAAAGCTTCACGAGCGATTGACTCTTCACATCCCCTTAATTCCTCCCATAACGCTGGCGATCTTTTTATGGTTCCTCTCGCAATCTGCTGTGTAAACTGCGAAGGGCCCATTATTCCGGAAACCTAACCTCACTCATTGTCACGCGGACACATTCGCTTAACGAATGGTTTACGATTATTAATATACCGATCTCCCCTCTCCGACCCTTCAGCATCCCCTCGTAATACCTCGTTCTATTTAATTACCGTTTGCGTTCGCTTCCGAAATTACTTTGCGGCGATAACTCGGCCTTTATGAGGACCTAAAGTCCACCTGTTTCGCATTTTCCAGAGGGCGTCACTAGCCATCCTCAGTGGCGCTACCTAGGTATATAGATCAGTGTCCTTTGCCCGGATTTCCACTGCGGAAAAGCACCGAAAGCTTTGATCTCTCGATCTCGTAAAGCTCGACTGAGTTGGAAACGAACGATTAGAGTTTTACTCATTTCCGCCCGGCAAACGGAAGGGATGTTCGGAGGTGATTTTCAATTACATGCCACGCGGCGCCATCTTTGAGCCGGAGTCGAGAAGCTATCGACGCGGAAATCGTTTCCAACAATTTCCTACCTCCATAACCGATTGCCATTGATTTCATGCCAATAAATAACAATGACTACGTCTTGATAAACAATATTTTGATAACTAATGTCTTTGGGAATATCCGGTTGTAGATGTATTTCAGATGTAGGGCCTCGTTACGCTGGCGAAATAGGGTCGGATTTTTTTTTCCAGCTCCAGTCAAGGGTTAACCGTGCCCGATCCGAAAAACTACTTCCTATGAAAGTTTCGCGAAACGGTCCACGGAAGAACTTTCGTCCCAGCCATTTTTCGATATCGTGCGTCGTAACGACAAGAATTGCAGTTGCAACTGTTGTGCGGAGCGGTGATCGTTCTCGGTACCACTTATACTTTACTGGGCCCTTCAACAGTTATATCTTTTCTCTTTTGCGATCAGTTGCAGCGAGGAAAGCCCATTCGCATGGTAAACAATCGTAACCGAAGCACTTGATTTTTCTCCTCGAGGAGCAAGGGTCGTAACCCTGCGACCTCCTCGCTGCTACCCCCCTGGCGGCGGACATTTGCATTAAGTGCATCAGTGCGCTCTGCAATTTGTCACCGTCTGCTGAACCAGAGTTCCGAAGACGTTAAGTTACGTAAAGAATGACGAGAGATACCCCAAAATTTTTCTCTTCTTTATTTCATAATAAATAAAATTAAATATCCAATAATTATTGGGTTTAAGCAGAAGTAATGGCATTTTGTGCTTCACTTAACCTTAAAATCGCCCGTCGTTTCCCGGCTTCGTGGGGGGTCCCCAGCAGGATGAGACGGTTTTTCCCCGTGCGGAAAGTTCCCCGGCGTTAATTGCGAAACTTTTCACCCCCTTTTTCTTCCACCCTGTGGTCTTTAAGGGAAAACAGGGCCGCCTTTACGCGGACTGAGTGAATCTTAAGCTGGGCATCTTACGTTTTCTTTTTTTTTTTTCCCAGTTTCTCCTCTCCGATTTTCTTACCCCTTTTTTTTCTCGCGGCTTTTCTCTTCCCCACATTGGCCAGTCATTTCCTCGTCGGTGGGGAAAGTTTTCCCCAGGACAGAAAGGGAAGGAGACAGGGCGAAGAGGTCAGCGCTCTCGAATCGACGGCCGCCATTGGACGCCATTGAACGTTGATCGATTTACCGATAATTAGCACTAAAACGGCAAGAAAATCCCCGATTTATTAAGTGCACTTCGAAATACTTAACCGCCTGTGCGATTAAAACTTATAAATTAATTAAACCCTCCTTGGAGAGACGCTGGAGGCTTCGCTTCCTTTGGGATTCCCCTTGGATTTAAATTAACCACTTTCATTTCATTAACTAATATCCGATCAACCGGGAATGAAGGTATCTTCCTTTGGTCGAAGAGACAATTAACGTTAACTTCACGCATGGAATTTTTTTTTATATAACAATTTCCATTTCGTAACACCTGATCTCTATCTTTCGAATCCTTCCCATGAGGACCCATTTATGTACATAATGAAAAAGCGGACAGCAGAGCACCCTTCCGGGCATCAATTTAGAAAGAATTTTCCGCAAAAAGGAAAAACAAATTTAAACAATCGAAATAGCAGGAAAAATTTGGAAAAATCCCAGACCGATGATGGTTTTTATCGCGATAGCGAAGTGTTTGGAAATTCGAAATTTGGAATTTTTTCCCGCCAGGCCGCACTCGGAATCGCGGGGGAAACTGGAAAAATGAAATTTTCGGGAAAGCGTGACGGGCTTGGCGGAAAAAACGGTGGACCGAACGAAGTGGGC